GAGCCACGGCAGAGTCGTGGCCCTAGACAGAGGGGCAGCTTGCTGAGCTGAGCTCTCCAGGGCCTGGCTCATCTGAGGATTCGGACATTTAGCAGCGGTTGAAGGCCTCTTGGGGGGCAGTGCCGAGCACAGGTAGGGCTGGATTTGGGGCTGTTCCCTCGCTTCCCCTCCTCCCTGTCTGCCAAGCAGCTGCCACGGCTCCCTGCCGCTCTTTTTTTTTCGTGCTCCTTCCAGCAATCCACAGACTGTTCAGTTCCTTGGCAAGCCCCTCGGGACATTTCACAGCCCGTGCATCTCTCTATCCCATCAAATTAAATGCTGTCATTGGGTGTTTCTGCTACCTCACTCTATTTAAAGACAGAGCACTCTTCCTGTCCTAGGAAGTTCAAGAAAAAGGCAGATGGAGGGCAGAGGCTTTTTGTCTGCCAAGGCAGAAATCATAGGTGACAGTGCTCTGGCACCTGCCCAGGATGTTGCTATTTCCAGTCCTTTGGCTGCTCTTCTGGCTTTGACTGTAGCCCCTGCCCCGCTGCAGGCCAGGCTGGGAGGCAGATGCCGCTGTCACCCCTGGCTGGGTTTACCCAAAGGGGTCTGAGCTCCATGTCTCAAAGGAGAAATCTCACGTTAGGCCAGTCATTCAGCTGTCCTTCAAGAGCCTGCAGGTAACCATCCTCTCCATGTTGTCCCAGCCTGGGGTCTGTGGTGCCACCAAGCCGGTTCCTGTGTTGGCCGTGGAGGCCCCCCGTGGATGGCTTGCAGCTCTGCTCCATGTGCTCCCACAGTGCCTGCAGACTGCAGTGGCCTGCAGCTCTGCTCCATGTGCTCCCACAGTGCCTGCCGTGGTGCTGCTAGTCACTACTGGGTGACTGACTCCACAGAAACACTAATTATGGGTAATATTCTTTGGTGGCCAACGACAGCTTCCAGTGGCCTCTCTGGTAACATGAGCCTCCTGTGACATAGGGATGGCCACCTGTAGCCACTTTTACCACCTCTTGGCCCTTACGCGGGGCAGGTGGAGGGGACTGGGCACATCCCAGCAGCTGTGAGGTGCCACTTTTACCACCTCTTGGCCCTTACACAGGGCAGGTGGAGGGGACTGGGCGCATCCCAGCAGCTGTGAGGCGACCAGAGTGTCCCTCTGAACAGATTAATCATAGATAGCCAGCCAGTTTATTCCTAAAACACAGGTGATTCTGCTGCTTTATATGCCTTTTACATGCACAGTTATGAGTAGAATG